GTTCACTGTTTGCATCTTGGCAAACGTTTCTGGTGTAGAATGTAGAAAACATTAATGGCCTGTCCACACATAGGATTTTTTCTTGATGTCCAGTTAAGCTCGACTCAACTTGATGTTAGATAAATCACGTGACTTATTGTTTTTTTAGAGAAATCAGGTGGTCATCATGCTTTGGGTATCCTACATTTGCTGCTTGAGTTCTGGAAATCTTTGTGATTTTTTTTTTTTTTGGTTACTGCAACGGTTTTTTTTATGCCTTATTCATTTTACTGATTTCATGGTATAAAAATATTTTATGAATCTAATTTTCTTGTAGTTAGCTGTGGTCTCACTAAACCGCACTATTTTGCAGCTAGATCGTGGTTGGCAATTGTTCTGGAGTGTTTAATCCATGGACTAGCAACATTCAGCAGCACGGGTGTAATTGTATGTTTCACACAATACATGATTTCTTTTAAATCTGTTGCTCCTTTGTGTTAGATCAAACATTAGTGTTTTAGTGTAAATTTGTTGGTAATTGGTCACAGATTGATATTTTAATATCTAGGTAACGAAGATAGAGTTGTCTTTGATGGGATTTAGGGTCAAGGTACCCCAGACTTCTTAAGGGTGTTTGGTTGTTCTTTTAGCGAAACAGTTTCCAATTTCTCGCTTTCTCTGTGGTTGAAGCTAGTCTTTTCCGCAATTGGATGTTGCCTAATCATTATTTTTAGTGCAGGTTGATGTTGTCTTGGTGTTCCTTGGATCAATTATTCTGAGTGTGAGTTTGTAAATTAATTTTGAACACAAATTTTATTGATCTATTTTCTTATTATTTATTGTCCTTTCATTCATAACAACATAAACCTGGGGATTATGCCTCAAGAACTGTGGGATCATCAATTATTCAGGCACATACTCTCTGAGTAAGCCTGTCATCCTCAAACCTTCATAAGTCATGATAATTAGCCATTTTCTCCCAATTAGAGTTCCACTTTTCGTGTGGAAAATAATCAAAATGAGTTTGGACACATCTTGTTTTGTGTATAGATCTTATATTGTTTCCTTCCGCGAGATTATTTTGTGTTTAACGAATTGTTTGAATTAAAGTAGATGTTTAATTGTCCTACTGTTAACTAAAGCATTGTAGCTTTTACTTAGGCCAGCCTCGTTCTTCATTGCATGTTACTCTTCACGTATGGGTTGCCAAGTAAGAAAAGTGGTTCTCACTGGAACTGTATGTCTTGAAAAGTTATTATATTATTATGGTTCTGGCCTATCAGTGATAGATACATTTGTGCAGGGAACCTACAAGACGTTTACATCTACGACGCAATCTCCTTAGAGCAGTTTGTGCCCCCTTAGGTGGAAGGTAGTTTAAATTCCTTTTCCAGAAGAACACAAGTATTTAAGAATTGAATAATTTTCATCTCGAAAAAGTTTCCAAGTCACATGAATTCACTGTTTTTATTTCTTTTCCACATGGATGGTGTTGAACAAGGAAGAAAATTTGGACTCTTTGAATCTGTGGAGGTTCTAACCAAAGTTTCCTCGAATTCTAGCAAGGTGGAGGATACTTTAATTTTTTCTCGCCTTTTCCTGAACTCCTTTCTCAGTTGACAATTTTTTGTTTCTTCGTGATTTCAGGTTTCCAGTTACCAAAGTCATGATGGTGTACAACTACCTCCGGTGCTAAGAGATCCAGTGCTTCATGACAGTTAAGAGATTAATTACGTGTTTTAAGATCCATTGTCTCAAACTTAATGGGATTTTCCATGATGTGTCATTTTATGCATGGTTCTTATATCGCGAGGTTAGTCAACTCTTCTGGTGTTGGTATTTCTTAAAACTAGAGAATGACTGATATTGTTATTGTCTTGTCAAATTTTCTCTATTGAAATAGTTCACTCCATTACTCTATTTATATATAGATTATAAGAAAAAAATTCATAATTACTCGTGACAGATGGTGATCTCCCACTGTAGATTGTGGCTTTGTTCTGTAAGTAGTGTCACAATGTTCTATACATGTAGCTTTTCTGAGCAAGTTTCGTTTTTCAGAAAAAGTGTCCAAGAGGTGGTTTTGAATGTTGCTGCGCATACGATGAACTAGCTTGAAGTGTATCATGAAAGGTAAAGGTAAAGGGAAGCAGTTTCGTTTTTCACTGTTTACAGAAGTTATTGTTAGATTGAACTGCCTCATTAGTTGTTAATTTTTCACTTTCCTTTTCCAGTTACAGCTTTGTTTTTATATTGATAACCTCCTCGAGGGTGAATTTTGTCACTGTGAGGGATGCTGTGTTACTGGTCCTCAGCCTCGCCCCAAAATGGAGACTGTCATCATTACTCTTATGCACCTTGCCTATCACAGTGAGAACATGGAGTTGCAAGTAATAATTTAGTCATATTCTCTACTGGGAGAAATGCAGACTCTTTTTTATGATGAGCGCTGTTTCAGGTATAGATCCTTATCAGAGGTATTTCTCTCTTGGAATGGTTACTGTTTTTGATTTACTTGAAACATTCTTCTACTTATCTGGCCTTTTTCTTACTATGGAATTAATCATTGCTGCACTACACTTCTAAGTTCAAGATGTTATTATTGATTCTCGTTTCTTTATCTCTTCCATATCTGTATGATAAAGGTTCTTCTCAATTTTATCGACTTACCTTACATTAATCACCTTTGAAACTTGTAAATGCTACACTGATGACATCATTTTCATCTCGTTTTAAATTGGTTTGTGCAGTATATGGAGGAACTCTTGCCCTTGTTCCTCTTTTTCTGGATTGCTTGTTGTGTCAGTTTAGCTGCTCTTGTTGAGGTATTCCGCCAGCTGATATTCTCTGTGTAATAGATGGATTTTATTTCTATATAAACTGGTGATTGCTTTGTTGTAGGCAAGTCTCGGTGTCAGGTCTTTTACTGAGAATGGCATATATGATGAACCCCTTATCGTACAACTGAAAATTCTGAAGAAGCATCTTTTGGATAACTCTGTAAAATTTCTTGATGTAACGTCTCAAGCAGTGCGGGTCAGTTTTCTAACTTTCTTACCTATCCAAATTTGATTGTGCTCTTTTATCCTTTCTTAAACTCTTTGATTGATTGGTCATAGTTTTTTTTATTCTTATATGTACAGATTTAATTGTGCCTCTAGATACCATACTGTTTGGCTACGTATATAATTTCCCGTGATTTTTCTCGATTCTGCAGCAGTCTAAAACTTTTGTTTTGCCGTTTCAGTTTGTAACACTTCCGCTGAATTCTTATTTATCTCATCTTTATCCCTTGTCAAATGTCTAGTTGATTGATAATTTATTAATATACCATCATACACATGAAAATTATGAAACTTTCTCTCTGATGTGCTGTTATATTTATAGTCAAAAGATGTATAATCACCTTCCCAAGTTTCACGCATTCGAGGGGTGGTACTTATTTCCAAGGATTTATTCGTGTAATTGCCTCCTGTATGGTAAGGCTAAATTGTTTGCAAGTTTTGTTTAAGAATCTTCATTTAGCTTATATAGATATCCCTTTCTCCTTGCTTTAGGAAATTCTTTCAACTGAAAAGAGCAAGCAAGCATTATCATCTATCAATTCATGTGAGAGATCTTTGATTAAGGTTAGTTTCTTCTTGGCATTAGCTTTCTGGTCTTGAGCAACGTTTTATGGGTTGATATATTCTCAGATAATTCATGTAGTGGAGAATTAGTTTCATGAGCAAGGCAAAATATTGAGCCGTAAAACGTTTTGAGTATATAAGATATGGTTCTTTCAGAAACTTACTCGTGCAAATTTGATTTCAAGATTCATATTATGATATATATGGATATATAAATGATCAGTGAATCTAACTGGAATTCCCCATTTTTGTTAGGGTTCTGCCTGCTCAGATATGTACTTTTGTTCTTATACGTACATGGCAGGGGCGTGCACCTTGACATTGATGAAAAGATCTTAGTGATAGCTACAAGCAGTTCAAAGGTAGCTATTATTCCATGAATCTTGACATTGTGGAAAATAAGTTAGAATAGATAATCTCCACAGGCCTCTCGTGGTTTATGTTAATAATCCCACGTAAAAAAAAAAATCTTTATATTTTCTATGAAAACTGCTCCTCCTGGTAAATGCTAATAATTGAAAGCTGAAGTCTATGATGTATATTATTATTGACAATCTAA